ATAGGTGGATGGTGGGACGGGGGGATGGAGGGATGAATGGGTGGAGGGAGGGAGGAAGGGAGGGATGGATGATGGAGAGATGGGTGGGTGGGTGGATGGGTCAATGGATGACAGAGAGGAAGAAGGGAAGGAAGTAAAGGTTTATCTTTTGTGAGAAAACTTTCGAACGTGGCACAGCACCAGAGTGAAGCTATTTCTGTTATTTTTTTACGTCTCCTTGGTTGCAAGTTCTATCCATTTTCACAGGTGTCAGCTGTTTTAGGCATTTCCTCAATTCACTTAACAAACACTGATCGAGGGTCTGCTGTGTACCAGGCACTAGGCTGGAGTCCAGGCACACAGCCTCTCACAGATGGGGACTGAGGCCTGGCAGGCCGGCCCCCCGTGCCGCCGCGCCTCTCGGCCCCTCCCCTCGTGCCTGTTGCCCTGGAAGGCCTGTTGAGGAGCCCTGATTGTGCCTCCCCACCCCCCATCCAACGGATCTGTCCCCTAGAAGGAGTGACCCAGGCGTGCACAGAGGAGCGGTTTCCTGCTCCTCCAGGGGCTCCTGTCACCACCTGGAGTGACAGCCAGGAGGAGGAAGTGGGGGGAGGATGGGGGCCAGGAGCCAGCACACCCCCACCCCCACACGCGTCCTGACCCTGGAGTGGGCTGCACCGGGCCCCCAGGCCACGGTCGCATGGGACAGTGGCCTTGACTGGTGGGAGGACAGGGCAGGTTCTAGGTGGGAAACAGTGTGTGGACGCTCCCGAGCCCCCAGAGCCCCCACCCCAGTCCAGGGCCCAGCCAGATGGACGTCGTGAGCCCAGACACGCTCCTCCCAGCTTGGGGAGGGGCTGCCACGCTGTCACCTCCGGGCAGCACATCCCTCCTCTTCCAGAAGCCTCCCCCGGTTTCCCCCGCCCTGGCTCCCGGAGAAGCTTGTGGTGTCCCTGCCCAGCCTGCCCCGGGGGTACCCGGCTCATGTTGTCTGGTGTCAGAGCCCAGGGCTGACGCACGCCTTCTGTCAAGGGCCAGTGACCGTTGTAGGCTTTTCCGGCCACATGATCTCTGTCACAGCCACTCAGCTGTTGTCGTGCAGAAACAAGCCACAGACAGCGCGCTAATGAGTGGACGTGGCCCTGTGTCAGTACAACTTTATTTACAGATTAAATAAGCAGTGGTAGGGAGATTTGGCCCGAGGGCCATAGTTTGCTGACCCCCTGTATACGCTTCTTGGATCACGTGATTTCTCTCCAGGCTCCTCAGCGACTCCCAGCTGTCCACAAATATCCAGACGCCTTATCAGGCACCAAGGGACCTCAGTGGACAAGCTCACTGCTCCTCAGCATCTCTGTTGTCACCAACGGTCGCTTAGGAACATTTAATGCTCTATGTGTTGGGCACTGCAGTCGGCTTTGGGGACACGGTGGCGAGTAAGACAGCCGTGGCCTCCCAGAGCTCCGTTTGGTGAGCACAGACAACGATGAAACGATGGCACAAAACCGTAAACTCAGAACCCTGTTCTGAGCCGCGGATGTGGGAGGCCGGTCTGAGGGCGGCTCATGGAGCCCTGGCGTGTCCGTGGGATTGCCCCTCTCTCTGCAAAGTGTCCATCCCTGGTTTCCCGAACCCCACGCAACACGGTGCTCTCGGCCCCCCGTTCTCCCTGCTGCGCCGGCACCGATGATCCGCGCCTCCCGAGGCCGGGAACGCCGAGACGAGAGCAGCCAGGCCGCTCCGGGCCGCGCGGTGGCCCCACAGCAAGCAGAGGAGGGCGTTCTCCCAGCGGCTCAGGAGCGGAGAGCGGCCAGGGCCCCTGCGGGCAGCGTCCCACCCGGCAGGGGCCGGCCACGGGGAGCGTGCGTGTTGATGGAAAGGACGGGCCGAAACCCAAACTGATGCCTGTTCCCTCCCGCCCCTGTCCCTCCAGAAAGTGCAGCAGTACACAGTCATTGTCCAGGCCACAGACATGGAAGGGAACCTCAACTACGGCCTGTCGAACACGGCCACGGCCATCATCTCGGTGACGGACGTGAACGACAACCCGCCGGAGTTCACCACGAGCACGGTGAGTACGCAGCTCACGGCCGTCGGGCGCGGCTCGTGCCGCTTCTGCCCTCCCTGAGTGTGATGGAGGGACGGACAGCGGGGCCGCCACGGCCCTGGGCAGCGGGAGGCCGACGCGGAGGGGGCCTCCCCGGGGTCTGCGGCGGGAGACAGGCGGGAGGGCCTGCCAAGGCTCTGCCTCCGGGGGTGGGTGCGGGGG